CCGTGCAGGTGCCGGTGACCCCGGTGACCCCGGTGGCCCGGCTGCTTGCCATGGATTCCATGGCGGTTTTTTGTTGGCAAAAAACCCTGGGAAATCCATGCGTTGATCTCGGAAAATGGTGATTTAATGAGGTCTTATGGTGGTTTAATGGAATTTAATGGGATACTTACCCTCTGGTAAACGTTTAGATCACGAACTGGAAGAAATCCACCATTTTTCATAGGAAAATTCACTATAAATGGCCATTTTCAATAGCTATGTTTGTTTACCAGAGGGTAACTATGGCTGATTTTCGATAATTACTATAGATGGTCAACTTTCCTATAGAAAGTAGCAATGTGGATTTGACATACTGCGGATGGTTGCGAAATCCTGCATCACTGAACGGATGGTTGAAACATGTTGAAACTTGAAACCCTATCAATACTGGGATGTTTACCAGCGTTTTCAGCTGGTGCAGGATTTCGCAACCATCCACAGTATGGGGGAATAAGCATCAAATTGCAATTTAGATGGGGATTGAATGATCAAAACAACACATCAAAGCATATTGAGATTCAACGTGGCCATTTATAGTTGATTTTCCCATTAAACATGGTGATTTTCCATAGTTATGTTAGATTACCAGAGTGTAACATGATTCAAAACCATTTGCTTGACGTTTTTGGCACACTTTCCAGTGGAATCACCACAGGCAAGCTGGCCCTTTGGCGATACCTACTGTGGATGGGTCAGCGAAAACCAGTTAGATGGTAAACATCCCATTATAAACATCCCATTATTTATAGCTGGTTGGTGGTTTGGAACATGTTTAATTTTCCATAATATATGGGGCAATCCTTCCCATTGACTAATATTTTTCAGAGGGGTAGGTCAACCGCCAACCAGATAGGGTTTCAATTTTCAACCATCCGTTTGGTGGTTTATCGGATTTCGCTAGCCCATCCACAGTATGTTTTGACCCATATCCAATTCTTGCATGGGCATTGACTTGGTTCAATCTCAGTAATCTCGCGGCATTCATTGGGGACATTTGCCGAGACAAATCGTCAAGGGATAAGCTTCGGATAAACACACACCACCGACACAACGCGTGTCAAGTGCTGCCACGACCCATCAGTTGTTAGAAATGTCCAAGTGGCCGCAGCACGTTCAGTTTAGCCATTTCATTCCCAACTTGAGGGTGCAGTTCCATCTGTAAGCAGAGAATAGTGGATATACAACCATAGTTATTAGTGGATTACAGGGGTTATGTCTCAACCTATGGAGGTTACCAGCATTGTTATGTCCAGTTTTTTTAAAAAAAACTGCAAGCCCAACAATGCACTCAAGTCTCTTGTTCCAGTGACTTGTCAGGTAAACTACCATAGCTATGGAACATCACCATTTTTCACAGGTAAATCATCCATGAAATAGGCAATTGCTTCATTAGTTATATTACCAGTCAGAGGGTAACTCCAATTTCACTACATTATTTTTTTTGGCCCATTTACTAGTTCGATATATCTATCACAGGTCCTAGTCATTGGACTTATGTTCACCGCTTAGCAAACGAACGGGGGCACCACATTGTAGGGTTTCCTCATGGGTTTTCCACATCTAAGTCCTATAAACATCCCATGAAAACCCCATCAATCCCATTCAACCCCGTGAATTCCCCGGAGTTGATGGTAAACCAAAACTCACCCACCATTTGTCATCGCAGGAGAGGCTTAATGTCTCCGAGAAGCAGCTGAAATTGCAGGAGGCGATCTGGGCGACAGCAAGTTGGCGAAGTCGGTGACTGCTACCCCCTTTGTTAAATTTTACACAACTACAATGTGAGGGTTCCCCCAGTGATGTTAGTTGGTTTATAAACCCTATGAACTATAGCTATAAGGCTATAAGTGTCATAAAACCACATCTACCTATAGTTACAAATGTCATAAACATTCATAAACCATAGTGATATTGAAGTTATGTTCACCAACTCAGCTTTTGTTGGGGGGGGCCGCCTTGTATCTGGGCAAATAAAATCACGACCTCACTGTGACCGAACCCTGGAACCATGGTTAGTAAGGGAAATCATCCCCCACATGACTACAAGTTTCAAATTGGTTAAATATCATAATTCACGCAGATAACTATGGAAAGCCACTATTTAGAGAGGTAAATCATCGAATTAAATGATCCATTTTCCTTTGCAAACTGTTAGTTTACTGGAGGGTAGTTAATATATTAATATGGAACTTATCCCAAACTCGTTGGTGGTTTGATATGTTTGCCTATTTTTCTCTCATGTTCATTCGTACTATGGTGATGATCCGAGATGACTCATATTCTTTGTTGGCGCCATCAATCAGTCAAGATATGGGTGTGTCTGAAAATGTGGTATATCCACAACAGGGTCATTTTATATATTTTATGGGAAAATGGGTTCCATGCCCGTGATTTGACGGGAGGATGCGCAAGGCTCTCCTGCGAAAAGGCAGTGTTTGCAGTTTTGAAGATCCGTTCTTGCACTTGGACATGCTTGATGTCACTTGACCTTTAGTGCATTGATGTCCTCGATGTGAGGCTTACGGCTTTTAAGCGTTTTCTTCAGTTGAATCACAGCGGATACTTGAAGAAGCAGATTCGTGATGAACTGCTCTTCGCATCTTGCCGTGGTTTGGATTATACGAGGGCTGCATTCAGTAAAGGTTTCCACGGATTCAAAGAAGGCGCTACAGGAGCGAAAGCGGCTGGTCTTTGGCATCTCAGATGGCCGAACCTCAAAGCTAGCTAGGCCGGGCCTAGCGTTCGAGCCATCTTGCCGCAGAAGCGGCGGGGCGTGCACAGCAGAAGGCGCTCACAAGACCCCCGGCCTTCAGGATGGTGGCTACTGCGGTTGAAAACAGGTGCTAGCAGTTTGCATTACTTCAAAGTCTCTTGGGGATTTTGCGGGTTTCATGCAGTATGGGGCCACTTTGCTTTTTCAAAAACCATGCAAGGCAGAAACAGTTGAACTTGCAGCTATTGTTGTATAGCTTGTCACTCAAGCGATGCCAACAACTTGACAAGTGTCATGCCGGACAGTTAAATCCAGAGAACCTGTGACAGGCACACCCAGGGCACACCAAAATTTACCCCTCAAAAAGATGATTTTCCCAGCCAGAAACCTCCGTTTACAGGGTATTTCCCACTTTCTTACCGGAGGGTATACATGGATACCAATCCATGGGGATACAGATGCAGCTGAATGGCTGGAACGGCGACTTTGCCCAAATTTCTCGGTCAACAACTGGGCCAACCATTGGTCAAGGGTGGAAATAGGCATATTTCTGGGCAAATTTTAGTGATCTCACTTTCAAACCCTGGAATCATCTTGAGTAAGGGGAATTTTCTCAATTTCAGTTTAGTGAAATTTGCAATTTGCCCAGATGCTTGGTGGTTTGGATCATTTTTTTTCTCCCATATATTGGGAATAATCATCCCAACTGACTAATATTTTTCAGAGGGGTTGAAACCACCAACCAGCCAGATATTTTGACATTTTGAGTGAAGATAGGCTAGCAAGGTGACTTTTGTTGCAGGGTAGCATGGATGGCTGCAGTGAGATACATGTAACATTATATAGCTCGTGGAATCCAGTGGCTGGGTTCAAAGTGTTGTTTTCCATTCATTCTTGGGATAGATTTGTTGCATATTTTTACATGGAAAGTACAAGGATTGAGGACCTACATTCAGAACTCTTCTATGGCCCCTGTTGTGATTTCTGGGTTCAGTTCAGCTACACTCGATCTCGCCAAAGTCTCGGTACTTTCATCCCAAAGTTGGGATATGAGGCCCCAGCTTCCCAAGTTCTTGCCGCGCCAGGCATCCTATGCTGGATGAGTGCACCGCTGATGGCGAAAAAAAACAACGCACTGGCACTGGGATGGTGGGATTACCACCTGCTTAACCGGTTGAAGGGCTGGGTCAACCTTGGTCAATGGCAGATTATGACAGCACTAAGTTTACTAAGGTACTAAGTAAGGAGATTCTTGAGGTTGATAAACATGGGCTGTAAATGAATAATTGCTTGGCTACGGGCTTATGACCTTGATCCTTGGTGAATGGCAAGTCCCAGAAAGACGAGATGGCCTTCCATTCCAGTTCATTTTTTTGGGGGGTTAAAACAATGACATAGACCATCCCCAACATCACCATAAATAGGCGGTATGCTTACCATTCCCAAATGGGTAGGTTATTATTGTTTTAACCACATTATTCAATGTAACAGTTTGAAATGGGAAATCTTTGTTTGGCAAGTTGGTTGATGATTTTTTTAATGCAATATCAGGTCAACAATGAACTGGTGTGGCTGGTATTTGAGACTGTTACAACCCAATTTTAGAAACGGAGAGAAAGTTATCCAAGGACATTGGATTACGTAATATTCAATGGGATTATTGCTCCGTTATAAGTTGCTAAAGGGACAGAAAATTGTACCAGCCAAAGACTGGGCTGGAACATGCTGGAACCATATTCATATATGCTATAATTCTGGATGAATACCTTGACATATAACATGGATCAGTGCAAAAACTGCTGCAGCAAACCCAGTGGGTCGCCGAATCACGAATCGGGTTCAATCAGATTAGAACTGCCTCTGCCAGACCAGTCAAACAGAACATAATCTTGGTTTTTCATATTTGAACTGCCAGGTGGTTAGGATAATTCAGCATATGCATGGGCAAGAAAAAAACGTGAACATAAATAATTCCCCTAATGCCGAATGTGCCTTTTTTTCGGCTCCAAACAATGAAGAGATCCAGTGGTTGGTGGTTTCAAACATTTGTTATTTTCCATTTCATATGGGATGTCATCCTTCCCATTGACGAACTCCATCATTTTTCAAGATGGGTAGGTCAACCACCAACCAGATGATAATGATTATATATATATATGTATGTATATAGTGACCAAGCCATTATTCACCATTATTAAGCCATTAATAACCAACGTTTTTTGCGGTTCTATTTGTTGGGGAGGAAAAAATGCCGGTCGGCCCCCGGTCCATTCGTTGGAGCTTCTTGCAGCCTTTTGATCTTTGGGTCAGCGATCGCCTCTATGGCCTGTCCCGGCTACAAGGCGGAATGACGGGCGGGGCCCATGGGCGTGTTTCAACCGCCAAGATCTAGGCTGTACTGGGTATCCAGATAGTTAATGGCGGTTAATAGTTGTTTATAGTGGTTAATCTATGGTTGGTTAATAATGGTGGTTAATGGTCAATGGTTGGTGGTTTGGAACATCTTTTCCATATGTTGGGAATAATGATCCCAACTGACTTTCATATTTTTCAGAGGGGTATACCACCAACCAGCAAAAAGTTGGGCAGGTTGATGGGTAAATTTGTACTCATACATTGCGTGCTGTCCAACAGATCAAAGCCTGCCCATGTGGGATTCCAAAATTAGCATTTTCAGCTGGAAAGCAAATGTGTCTTGGATCTATACTTTTTAAATGATGCATGTTTGGGAAATCACTCAGTCCTTACCTGCTGAACACCAAACGCGAATACCTCGGTCCTCAGTTGACCCATATAAAGTGGCAAACCCATTTCTTTTTCCCCACCTGCCAGGTGAGGGTTGTTAGATTTTATCTAAGTTGCCTGCTCCTCCTCCTCCTCTCCTCCTCCTCTCGTCGTCCTCCTCCTCTCGTTGTCCTCCTCCTCTCGTTGTCCTCCTCCTCTCGTTGTCCTCCTCGTCTCGTTGTCCTCCTCGTCCTCCTGCTCAACTGCGACTCGCGATCCACAGTGTTCGCTGCCGGACCTCAACCACGACCATCCACGCCCAGTGTTCCCTGCCGGACCTCATGTAGGAAGATAAAATGTCAGATAGAGTGCCAGAAGATTTGCCAGGTAGAATGCCAGAAAATATGCCAGAAGATATGCCAGATAGATATGCCAGAAGATATGCCAGAAGATATGCCAGATAGAATGCCAGATAGAATGCCAGATAGAATGCCAGAAGATATGTCAGAATATATGCCAGAAGATATGCCAGATAGAATGCCAGATAGATGCCAGAAGATATGTCAGATAGAATGCCAGAAGATATGCCAGATAGAATGCCAGAAGATTTGCCAGATAGAATGCCAGAAGATATGCCAGAAGATATGCCAGATAGAATGCCAAATAGAATGTCACAAGATATGTCAGATAGAATGCCAGAAGATGTGCCAGTAAGAACATGTATAAATGTCATGGTGGGGATCACACGAAGTAAAGTAATTTTTGGATAAACAATCCATTTCTATTGATAAATTCAGGTTGTTGTTTCTTGGCTTTGCTTAGCAGTTTCCCAAACGTTCTAAGCGTGGGTGTCTGGAGGAAGAGAATGCAACGGTAAATAAGTGCACATACTGTATATTTTTCCCCACCTGCCAGGTGAGGGTTGTTAGATTTTATCAGAGCTGTTCTCTTCCTCCTCGACTAGCTCTCCTCCTCCTCCTCCTCCGCCTCCTCCTCCAGTTTCTCCTCGACCATGTCTGCATCAACTTCCACCTCAACTTCCGCCTTGCCAACTCTTCGCCAAGCTCTTCGCCAACTTCCCAGCTCAGTGCGCACTGCTGGACCTCAACCTGGGACAATCCCAGCTTAGTGGGCACCGCTGGACCTCAACCTGGGACCTGTCCAGCTCAGTGTGCACCGCTGGACCTCAACCTGGGACCTGCCCAGCTCAGTGTGCACCGCTGGACCTCAACCTGGGACCTTCCCAGCTCAGTGTGCACCGCTGGACCTCAACGGCCAGATAGAATGCCAGAAGATATGCCAGATAGAGTGCCAGAAGATATGCCAGATAGAATGTTAGAAGATATGCCAGATAGAGTGCCAGAAGATATGCCAGATAGAATGTTAGAAGATATGCCAGATAGAATGCCAGATAGAATGCCAGAAGATATGCCAGATAGAATGCCAGAAGATATGCCAGATAGAATGCCAGAAGATATGTCAGATAGAATGCCAGAAGATTTGCCAGTAACAAAATGTATAAATGTCATGGTGGGGATCACACGAAGTAAAGTAATTTTTGATATGTTGGTGCAAGCTAATGTTTTGAATGTTCTAAGTGTGGGTGTTTGTGAGGAAGCGAGCTCAACGGTTGCGCACTGCTTTCGGCATCAAGATGAGATCGAACGAGAAGCCAGGCTTGCATCTTCCGTTCGAACACCCACAACTTGAGCGAGTGAGGATGTTTGTGAAGTCGGCTGCTGCCAAACGCAAATGCCACGAACGCCTGATATTGAATTTCGACCAAGTGTGGTCAACACTCTTTAGGCCGCAAAAGGCCTGTCTACAGAAAGCAGCATCATTGCGAAAC